ATGTTGTTTCTTTCACGATGTATACCATGTTATATATAATATCAAATAAAGAAATGATGCTTACCTATGAGGGGAAATCCAAAAAAAAAAAAAAAAAATTAAATTAAATTAAATTAGCAATTATTAAAAAAAGAAAAACAAATAATAATTTTAAAATTTTTATCATTTTTAAAATTATTATTTAATTTAATTTTTTTAACAATCACAAATTCAATTCAAATACAATTTTTATATTATAAATTTAATGATATTCATATTATATAAAAAGTTTATTATATTAAATTATAATTATTAAAAAAATTTAAATGTATACTATTTCTAAATTTATTTTAGTTAAAATAAAAAAAATAATATAAAAAATAATATTTGTAATTATAAAAAAAAATTCTAATATTATAAATTAATTATTAAAAAAATTTTAAAACAATTAATTAATTTTGAATAAAATATATTTGTTATTATAATATTTATATTAAAAATAGATAACTTAATATAAAGTTAAAAAATTTTTTTAAAAAATTTTATTAATAATTAATTGTTTTTTTTTTTTATAAGGAACAAAAAAAATCAAAAATTTAAATTACTTTTTTTTTAAAAATTATATAATGTAATAATATATAATTTATTAAACATATGCACATATATTTTTATATTAAACAATTAATTATTAATAAAAATAAAAGCTTTATTATTGTTTTATTTTTTTTATAATATATTGTAATATCAATATAATTATAAAATCCAAAGAAAAAAATATATAATTTTAATTTTATTAAATATTATTTTGAAATTATATGTTTTTTATATATGTTTTATTTCTATTTAGTTTCAATAGCATTATACAGTATAATCAATAATATTTTAATAATAGAATGTAAATATAAAAAAAATACCAACACAAAATTTTAAATACATAAAATAATTTTTTGAATATGACATTTGATTACTTTTATTTATTCAATTCATGTTACTAAATAAAAAAATTATAATAATAAAAATAATGTTGATGATATTTCCATAAGTGTTCAGTTATAAGAGTTAATTCTTGAAAAATCATTATTATTCAAAAATCAAACATGAATCTATTACATTATTTATAATAGGTAACATTAAAGATATTTGCATTAAGCGTACAAAAATAAAAACAAATAATTGATTTAACATGATTATCGATTATTTAAATTTAAAATAATAATGTTTAAACAAAAATATTATTTTGTTTTTTAATGTCAAATTCATAATTCATTTATGGTAATCATAAAAAATCATTTGTTTCTAATAATATGCCAATAATTATTTTTGAAGCAGTTAACAAGTTATAAATATTACGTCTTACAGTATACTAATGTTAACGGTGCATGCAAACACTTAAATGGTCGGCCGAATGTCAGACTGTAATGATGTCATTAAAACAAGATGGCATGAAATGGCATACGAAACAATAAAACACTAATTTTTAGTAAGACATTTTTTTTAGAATAGTCAATTTTTCCTTTAAAAATATGGTAATTATATTGTAGTAGGAAAATGAAACGCAATTTCGGTCAAGAAAGTCATAAAGATGACGTAATTAATAAGAATAGAATATCTTCAATGCAAACAATAAGGTCATTCGAACCTAACTATAGATATATAGTAATTGCTTGTAACGCGTTTGAAAATGTGAGGGATAATCATAAATGTTCGAGAAAGGCATAATTCTTATTTATTTATGTTTTTTTTACATCAGGATTTGGCAGATATACGGATTCGTTGACTGCTAATTTTAGATTTGGAATTTATACTTCACCGCACTCCTTTCTCAAGGTGATTTCTTCCTTTTTTGATCTGTCAACTAACGAATCGAACGAATAAATGAATATCATAAAAAAGGGAACGTATAATTTCAACATTCAAACTTACTATAGCTTTTTTGTACTTTCTAAATGCCGAACACATTATGTTCATCTTGATCTGATTAGTGAACCCCAAGTTTATCATATCTTCTTTATTCAACTCGATCATTTCGTTCCATTTTTTACCACGAAATAAAGGTAGTAACGCTCCAAAATCATATCCAATTGAATTTAGAAAACACTCTTCGTCTAGTTCGATTGAAAGAGAATTTGAAGTTAGATGTTTGTTTGACAATAAAAGATAAAAAAGCGACATTTAACCTTTCAATATATTATAGTCAATCGAAAATTTTGCGCCGTTCCAGTTATCGTTTGGTTCTTTCTCTAACCGAGGCAATCTGATCCCGTCTTTAAATACCTTTTAAAATTTGATATTAAAATTACATTCGAATGTCGATTGAATTCATATTCACATATGCTTACCATATCTTGCCTGACAATCCAAAAATGCTTTGCTAACTTGTGTCTAATGAATTTGTTGTGTATTCCCAGATATTTTAGATCTTGATGTTTCATTTGAACTATATCTTGCCATTTTTTGTCTTTAAAATATGGTGCCATAGGTTTCAATCCCAATCCCTCAAGCCACGCGGGGAAATCTAAAAGGATTAATGTATGGTGATTTGATTTTAGATTTTTTTAACTTGTGAACTATGAATATCAAAATCTTTCACCTTCTAGTAACTCGTAGTTAACGTATCCGAGAGTATAATTGTTCTCATAATACTTTTTATGTTTTCTGTGAGCGATCATCACTTCTTTAGGGATGTCAACCCTAGAAAATGTAGACTTGCTAACTTCGTCATCATTAGATATTTCTCCGGTGCCAGTTACGCTTGCTATCCCGCGATTAAATTTGTTAACCTCGTGTTTAGTAATGTTGGAACTTATGGAGTATCCAATATTATTGGTGAACGGGATTGATGAATGAAAACGAAATGATGTGAACGAATAAGAAACATTTCCGCGAAAAAGACTGGAATTTAATCCTATAATAGAATAGGGTCTGTTGAGACTTTTTAACACGAAAGATAATCTCATTTTTTAGGATGACGTAGGGTTAAGTACAGTTAGATGTTGATAAAAAGGATCACCGACATATACAGTAATTATAGAAAAAAAAATAAATTACCGTAATTTGCGTAATTTGATTAAATATTATAAATAATTAAATTTGGTCACTGACATTAGTGATAAATGGTAAAAATGATTTTAACATTTTGAATTGATCTTTTTTTTAAATATGTTTTATCCTTGACCAAGTAATAGGAGATTTGATTAGGACCAAGGCACGTAATTGTTTCTTGGTAATATCGACCGTTATCATTATCGTTTTTCTTTTACGTCGCACTAATTATCCTTTGCCAAAATAGGATATCTTTTGTTTGGATCTGAAATAACGTAAAAAAATAAGTGTGCAGCTTGGTACAGTGTACCCTCGATAAGTTGATGGTTACACGTAAATACGTTGAAAAACTATTTGTGCCGCTTCACGACAATACGTAGTGTTACGCATTGGTGTTTCACCAGTCAAATGCGCAAACATGGATAGTAGTAAATGAGACATTTAATACTTACCATTTTTAGTTCAGTATATAGTGTCTTATTAATTTAATAAAAAAGAAATTGGTGGATGCATCCTTATCTCATCGTAAAGAATTATTGCAGAAAAGAGCATTTATTTCCATGGGCCAATGAATAACACTGGTAATCACGTAAATACGTGCGTAGATTAAATTATTTCTCATGTCTGATGTTTTAGAATTTTATTTATTATTAAATGCCAAGAAATCTTGCCAAGAGATACAACGCGTACACTGGCTGCGATTATTCATTTTGTGTCACACCGGAGCACTGCATTCCATTACGGCCATGAATGAGATTAACAATCCTTCAGTGTTTGCGAAACACCTAATAAAACCGAAGATCCGGGACTTTATGAACGTCGTTGTAATATTACGTACATTCCAATTAACATGTGTGTAATAAACTAGTATTAAACAGTATTTCTTGGCACTATTTCAAACTCCTTATGGAGAAACATGACCTTCCTATGATTACATTTTTATCTGCATTCGAGATTTCTCTTGTTATATACATTTTTCTTTTCTTTGTATGTGTTATAAATGAAACAATTTTTGTTCCTCCACGATCTTTCAAGACAGAGCTTGAATAATTGTTCAAATCGTTAAGAAAAGAAGATTTAAAATTGTCTTTAGTGTTTGTTGTATTAAAAAACCATGTATGATTGTCTTAAATACTAAAGATTGGTAGCATAGTTAAAACACATAAAATCAAAGATAGATTGGATAACTACCTTCATTTCACTCCTTTGTAAATTAAAAAGTTTTCTAGAACATTTTTCATTATACGTCTTGTAGCATTTTTCCAATTAATTTTTCACACGAGTAAAAATGAGAACACGAAAAGTAACCATAACATATCGAATTACGTTCATAGCAATAACCTTCGCCATATTGATTTATGTAATTTCCATAACTTCCTTTTATCTGTCCGCAGGTGTACCACAAAATTTCATTAATCAATACTGTCACCTACATCCATCGTCTCAAATATGTAACAACGGTTCGTGGCTAGACAAAATGATCGTGAACAACACCATCCCACAATGGATTGACACATGGATAAGCAGGGGTGAATTCGATCCATCGTCTTTTTTCTATCCTGGGGAGAAGACCAGTTCGTTGCTCGCTAGGGAAAAGCGCACGCGATTTGATCAAATCAAATTTGATATAGTGTACACATGGGTAAACGGTAGCGATGAACGGCACCAAAAATTACGCGAAATTTATGCGCCCAACAAAGTAAAGAGTTCTGCGAACTCAGAAAACCGCTATCGGGATTATGATGAATTAAGATATTCTATAAGATCGGTGGAGGAATTTTTTGGGTCATTTATAAACAAGATATTTATTATTGCGACCGATTTTAAGAACACAAAAATCGCGGAGAAAGACAAGGAGTCACCTTCTGAAGTAATGCAAGTTCCAACGTGGCTGAATACGTCTTGGAGGGATTGTGAGACGGGAGAACCACGCGTACAAATGGTGAGACATAGTGAAATATTTACGGATACTTCGGTGCTGCCTACATTTAATTCCTTGGCCATAGAAAGTCAAATGATGAATATACAGAATTTGTCGGATCAGGTTGGTTGTTTTCTAAATTCATAAAGTAGAATTTAGACGAATAAAGACTTACATTTATATCATTTAATAGGTACTTTACTTAAATGATGACCAATTCCTCGGGAAAAGTCTCTCGCCTGTTGATTTCTGGACTCCATTATATGGTCAAGTATTTCACGTCGAACACCATCTCACCGTTCCACTCGAATATTACAGATCAATAGATGAAGCGGGAGAGTGGTATGCTTTGTATCACTCGAACAAATTGCTGAGTATGTATCTTTTCCAAAGTACAGGGAAAAAGTCATTCTTCTGTTAATCGTGAAATTCAACAATCACATCCAATTAGGCAAAAGATTTGGCTCCCGTCATCGCCCATACGTCTCTCACTCTACTCACACTCTTTCCGCAACCATCTTACGTTCCATGGTTACCGAATTTCCCGATGAATTCCTTTCCACCTCATCTCACCGATTCCGAAATATCGCCCCCGACTTACACACCACTTTTCTCTTCACTCATTACGTAATGGAGAAACACCGCGAAGCTTTACTCCGCAGCTTCCTAGTTTACAAGATGGATGTTAATCACAACATGAAATACGAACTTTCGGAACGAAGGGCAATATTGAAAGTATTTGGTAACGATGGATATACCTTAGGAATTTCCAGAAAGACTCTTGAAAACTACGAGGCTATTTTAGAAAAAACTGGTGTCGGTGAAACTAGAGAAACGAAATACACGTGGTCGAGCATGGATGGATATGCATATTCTGTCTTATCGCCCTTACATATAAATTATGGCAATGGTGGAAAGAAAAAACCGCCCTATTTCTTTAATCCGGAGACACACCCGCCTGAGGTCAGGAGTTGTAAACTGGAGTTGGAATATTGTTTTGGAAGTACGTTTTTGAGTGAGAACGAAAACGTTACAGTAGATGTGGAAAGTATATTTACGGAAGTGGCAGTGAGGAAAGTTGAGTGTGGTGATTGCATTATACAACATTTGATTTATAAAAGTGGTGGGAAGGGATTAGAAGCTTTCTTGCCATCGGGGGAGAAAAATATGACAAGGGACGAAGGAAATAGTGAAGGCGATAGTGAAGACAAGAATAATGTAATGGATTTCGACAGAATGTCCTACCGTACCCGTGCCATAACAGAAATTTTTCGCTATTCTTACGTGATAGGTGGGTCTTCATACCGATTTATTTACATGGATTACCCCTTGAAGACTTGGGATAATCTCAAAAGCCTTTCGGAGCAAAAACCTTCAATATTTTGTATAAATGACGATGTAAATTTAAATAATTATGATATGGGAAAAATCCGTGAATATTTGAGCCAGTTTTTGCGAGGATACTTCTCAAATGCCACTGAGTATGAAATTAAGGATGGATCTAATGGATTTTGGGAAAGAGTTAAGAGGCTTCTAACCGTGTGAGATGTAATCTTTAGGTCACGATGATTAAAATAGACAGTGGTTATATTGAAAAATATATGCTGTATATTGTTTAGAATATTTTGTATCTAGAAGGCTACATTTGTAACATGTCTCATTAAAAAAAATAAAATAAAATAAGTTTTAATTTCAAAAACTTGATATTATACAATCAAAAAATTAAATTCAGAAACACGTGTATCTTTTTTAATATTTACAAAATTGAAAATAACGTTCGTTTGCAACCAGACTATCGTTAAAAATCTAGGGATAGCGGTCACGTGATCAAAATCGCGATTTTTTTTTAAAAAAAATTACTTTAATATACAGGGTGAGTCTAAATCTCTTGTAAAAGTTATTATCTTTTACTTTATAATTATTATATTGATTGTACACATTCAACATTTGAAATTCTTTTCAAATAAGATCTAAAGACTTGCAAGTATATTTATTTATTAAATTATTATTATTTAAAAAAATTCATTATTTATTAATTAATTAAAATATATAACTGGTAAAATAATTTATATAAAAATAAGTACTTATAAGTCTATAGTACAACAATAATATTTCAAGAGTTATCAAAAAAAATTTTTTTTTGAATTCAGAATTATTTGATTACAACTTTAAGTTATATAATATTCAATTAATTAATTAAATTAAATTAATATTATAAATAATTAAGTTATATGAAACTAAGATTTGGTTATAATTAAATGATACAAAATTATTTAACCATTAGGTACTATTTATTAAAATGGAAATTAAATTAAAAATTTGTAACTATATTTGAAATTGATTTTGTTGATTAAAAAATTCAAATTAAAAAAAAATAGTTAATAATAGTAATTTGAAATGATTTTTTTATTAATATAATCAAAAAAATTATTTAAAATAATAATTTAATATCAAAAATAAAAAATTTATTTAACTGTATATAAATATATAGGTTATATAATTTTTGAAAAAAATCTATATAAATTAAAAAAAAATAATTTTATCTTTAAATAAATTGCACTAATCAATATATTTAAACTTAAGTTTTAATCATAAAAAATTTATAAAAAAATTTTTTGCCTTTTATTTTCTTGTTATATAAAAATATTTTTATCAATAAAAATTAATTTAACAAAAATTTTTTGAAAACTTAAACTATTTTATCTTTTTTAAAAAAAAATCTTTCAAACTCTTTACTATTATTATTAATACTTTTGACTTTATAATAAATACTATATTATCTTAAAATCAAAAAAAATTTTCATTAAATAAAACTATTCAATATATTGTTATATATCACTTCTACCGAGACCTGTGGATCTATAGTATAGTGGTTAACACTTTATAGATCAAATCACAAGATATCAATTCAATCTCATGTGAGGGCAGTTAAATAAAATTAATATAATATCTGGTGTCATAACCTGTAAAAGCGCTGTTTCTCATGAGAAGTCGTTTCATATACTGATCCAATAAGTGTTGAGATTGTGATTTCCAAAAAAGATGTTATGGCGTAATGATTATCTGGCTGGTATTGCAATTATTGCTGGAAATTGCAAGATATATAAGATATCTGTTTTCGATAAGTAGGTTTAGTGATCGCTTTCCTAATATCTGGCGTCTTTTTGCAAATCCTTGTTCTGGTTTCATTCCAATCCAGTAATAAACCAGTCTAATGGTGCTTATCCTGAAAAGGCATCTGACAGTAAGGCTCATTCCATGCAAAAGTACTGTAAGTCGCTATTCAGGCAGTAAGAACCAGTTATAAGTCTACCTTAAATATTCTTAAGTATCATTTAGGCAGGTAAGAAATTAAATAGTTAGTTCAGCTGCAAGTAGTGATAAAGTGATTTATTTCTGATGAAGCAAGTGGATGTTATACAGCTTTATTTATCATATAAAAAATATTATTTCCAGTGCATCTCTTCATTTCTCCTTAATATTTACTCAATAAATAAAGCAGTTAGTAAATATACCAGTGACTTGGCAAAACAAGCAAAGCTTTGGCACATTTGTATTAATCTTTATTCATTAGGAAAAATTGATAGCAACAACCAATATATGGAGAAATTCCTATATAGTTTAGTATATACTAAGATAAATTAATGTTATAGCATAGTTCTATATAGTAATATATACGAATATATGTAAATATTAATCTTAATAAAGTTTGCTAAGAAAGGTCTACATTAATAATAATAATATATTTCTTCTACCTCAAGAGAAAGATAAAGACAATAAACTAATAGCAGGGAAGCACTTTAGATAAATAGGATCAAGATGGTATATTAAAGTTTCTAGAGACATACAAATTAGTACAATTCTGAAATATATGAGGTCAGGTAAAAAAGGCAATAATGATTTGTTTTTAAAGGTCAAGATATTTATTTAATAAAATATAAGTTCAAGCCTATCAATTCCTAGATGAAATTGAAACCTTTATATATATGTTTTAGTTATAATATTTTTGTATATGATAAATATATGTTATAAGAAATAATAAAGATATAAAAGAAGTGTTATATTCGTCAAAATAGTTATCTGTATATTTTGTTAAACTTAAAAGTTTAATTTTTCTGAAATAGGAAATTTCATACCAAACATCGATCTAACATATTAATTTGCTAATAATAAATCTATAGTATTTTTATTCATTGAACAATTTTACTTAGAATCCAGAAAAAGGTTTCAGTCACCACTTTTGCAATAATCAAGGATTTCGGTCAAATATTTATAGTATCTAATTAAAATATATTGTTATATCACATGATCAAGTGATAATCCCCTAAGTTATGAACATGAAGGATTAAGAAATATATTACAAATTAGCCTTTTATTAACCTTTCCATATTTGTATTATTTGTCACTCTCAATAATTTAGCACACCAATTATATTCTTTATTTTTTTTTATATAAATAGGATAATATACAGGGGAGGAAATAATAGAGAAATTATAGAAAAGTTGTGAAGGAAATGAAGAAATATTTGTAGGAGAATTAAAGGTGAAATTGGTAAAATTAGAAGTATAATAATGTTTTGATAATAAATTGTTCTTTACAAATTATCACAATTATATTTGTCTTAATACAATTATAATTATTACATCTCTTGCCTTATGATCTTTGAAACCTCAAATATCTTCTTTACAAACTATAGCATACCACATTGGCCTTTGCCATCCAAAGTGTCTCTCTGCTATTAGTTCTCCATCCTATGCTAATCTTTGAGGTTGGATTAGCATATGACAGTATTAGTATAGAAACAAATATTCTGGTGAAAACAAAAGAATTAAGATAAATAAATAAAATAAAAAATGTTTTAAAGCAACAATAGCATGAAAAGTATAGTGCTAAACAATAACAGGAATAGTAATACGAGAATTATTCTAGAATGGACAACATTTCAAGAATAAATACTAATGAAAATTGGACAAGGAGTAGTGATAATCTTGAATGAAAATCAAGTGTAACAATTCTTCCCTACTAATCTATGAGTTTCACGAATTAATCTTGTGTTAAGAAGATATAATCAGAGTGTGACAATCGATGGATTAGGTGTAGAGTAATGAATCAGGTTTTGTATATCTGACTGATTTCTATCTTCTCAAAAATAGTATATATGCGAATGGAAACTTTGGAATAGTATTCTGTAAAATGTAATTTAAAGTATGCATGTTGTCTTCTGTGAAAGATATTTTCTATCAATTCTTCTAAATAATAAGCATATACAAGTGTAAGAATTCTGTTTCTTTTTTGCAATGCCTTTTGCAGCTTCTGATAGGTATTTAAAAGTTGCAATTTGATAGTCTGCAGAAGATTATAAGGGGCTAGTGCAACATCTATATCTTCAGGAGTGGTGTGTAGTAAATCTTTAACCAAAATAGTATAAACAGCCATGGGATTATTAGTTGCATATTGTAAATATTCAAATTTGAAAAAGAAACATATTGTTTGGAACAATTGTTCTTTTTATAGATTTTCGTAAATATTTTTGTATTTTACCAGATTGTGTACTTAAGGTCTTCTTGAAAATCACTTAATAGGTAATTATCAATCCATAATTATTTTGAAAATACCAAGAGAAAATCGTTTGTCAAGAAATGCTCGCCTAACTTGCTCTGGTCTCAGGGATCCATTTTGGAAGACAATTATATTGCTTCAAGAAAGGGTCAGAGTCTTGGAGCATCAAGTTCATCAAGGAGAAAGGTTTAGGGCTCTGGAACCAGAGGTGGAAAGATTAAAAAGTGAATTAAAAATACTTTGGGATGCATATTTCCTTCACAACCTCAATAGGGAGTTGGAGCTGGAGAACTTGAACTTGAGAAACAGAATATCTTGTCTGAAAAGTCTTCTTCGCCTGTTGAAAAATTCTGCATCTGCTTCCTTTAACAAATCTTTTTCTTTTTTCTTATTTAACTAGAAGTTTGTTTTTTATTTTGTTTTTCTAACATTTTCTTCTTCAAAGTTTATGGATTTATTGTGAAAAATGCAATAGTTGTTAAGTATGCTTTGTTAGCCAGCTGTAATAAACAGGAAGCACTTTGTGAACCACTTTCATTACATTGCATCTTTCACTTGTTTCTCTAGTTTCTTCAGGTTTTCTTTTTGATCAAAGATTCAGTGATGCTTGTGCTAGGTTTGGTACAAATGAAGGACTAGATTACTTAAGCATCTGCATTCATGGCATGTAACTTGAATATTGAATTCTTCAGTAGCTAAAGGATGTTTCTTCCTGTATATGTATACTAGATTTCTATGCTAATTGATCAAAATATTGTTTCAAGAGAAAAAGATTAATAGGGGCAGCAAGAACTTTTTCTTCTATCATCTTAATCTTGAAGACATTATTGGGCAAGACATCATAAATGTAGAAAGGTCTTTTCCATTTTGGTTTTAGTTTTCCTATGATGTGTTTATCTCTGATAGCATCATACATTAATACCTTATCTCCGATTTTGAATTTTTTGTATTTTGTTACTTTTTAATCAAATCTTCATTTTTGTCTC